AAGAATATTTGAACAACTTTCTTCAAAGTCATTGTGCTACAGCATTTTCATGTGTAAAATGAATTGAAACAGTTTAATTTGGGATATAAAACGCAACACATGTGTTAAACAATGACAGACAGAAAGAAGTGAGGGAACATGTTTTAGTAATGAGTCACAGGCCTTTTTTTTTTTTTTTTTTTTTTTTTAAGGGGGGAAAATCATCGAATGACTGCTCCCGCCTGGGTGAGGCGGAAGGGAGTGTCAGACTCTTACTGACTAAAAACCACCCCGTTCCTTCTCCTGCACGTCGAGCCGGAGCCCCGGTTACCCGTTAGGTTCTCCGCGACTCCGAATCGGCATCGGCCCTATTGGGCCCCATCTGTGGTGGTCTGATGGCTCTTTGAGGCGCGCGCGGAACGCGACGCGCCGTACGCTCGGGTCTGTTTCTGGTCGGACGGGGAGCCACCCATGCTCGCCGTCCGCAGGCCCGCGCTTACGGTGGCCGGAGATCGTCCCGCGATCCCCGACGCCCGGTGTGTCCTTCGCGATGGCTGGGTCGCGAGGAGGCAGCGCTTCGCTGCCTCACGCGTCCCGCCTCCTCCTTAGCTAGCATGACTGCTTCGCAAAAGGAGGAGACGGCATCCCAGTCCCCCTCGCTCCGCATCATGGCCTGCACTAGGCCCGGACGCGAGAGGTCGCCATCGCCGATCACTTCCCTGAGGGCACGGCGGTGCTCAGCCCACGCAGGGCATTCCGCTACGGTGTGTTCCACCGTGTCCTCAGGGCGGTCCTCGCAGTGATGACACCCGGGCGTTTCCTCCCGCCCCATCAGACACAGGTACCTCCCGAAACTTCCATGTCCGGTGAGGACCTGCGTCAGGCGGTAGGTGAGGACGCCGTAGCGTCTCTCAAGCCACTCCTCAAAGAGGGGACTTACCGCTGCAATGGCAATCACAGGCCTGCCTCATTACGGTGCATGTACTTATTGCGGTACGTAAGGGAATACATTCGGTGCGCATGACCCAGTGGGAAAGCCACTGCGAGGATGTATGGGTGATCGTGAATATCTCAATTTCTAAATCTGTTCGTCAACTGGCTCTGTGCGCTGTTTATCTGCCTCCGCCTGTACTATATGGAACCTTGGAAAACTTTTTGAATTCATGTAACTCTGTATTTGAACAATCAGGTACGAAACTGTGTATAATTGGTGATTTTAATTTAGGTCACATCAATTGGAACTTGCTAAGTGAGCCTAATAGTGGCTATGTTGCACCAGGCATTGGTCTTTTGTTGACTGATTTTCTTAATTTGAACAATTTATCTCAACTGAATAATATACCAAATAAGTCAGGACGTATACTTGACCTTGCTTTGACTAACTTGACTTCCAGCTCTGTTTGCTCCGCTCCTAATCCCCTAAGCAAAATTGACCCTCTCCATCCTCCCATTGAAATACATTTTAGACCTTACAGTGAAGCAAGTCTGCCGTATAATGGTAACAAGAGACTCAATTTTTATAAGTTGGATTACGACAAGGTTCGTGAATATCTGAATGAGATCGATTGGTGCCATCTGTTTGGTGGCACTCTGGATGTTAATGACATGCTCAATATATTCTACAGCAAAATCAACGACGCCATTGAAAAACAAAATCCCCCCACCGTACGTAAATATAAATCACGACCTCCCTGGTTCGACAAAGATCTAATACGAACTCTGAGAGAAAAGGAGAAAATACGCCGGCGATATAAAGTGTATCAAAACCCCATGGATGAGCTTGAACTAAAGTTGCTGAGTAAACGATGCTCTGCTATGGCTACCTCTTGCTACAATAGGTATGTTAGAAACCTGGAAAACGTGATATCCAAGGATACCAAACGATTTTGGGCTTATATCAAAGACAAGCGAGGGGGTGCCAGCTCTTATCCTGTAACAATGACGGATGGCGTTGCGTCATCTTCAGATGGCGGGAGCATCTCAGAAATGTTTGCTGCTCATTTTTCTAAAATGTACAGCGAGCAAGACGTAACTCATCATTCACGTCCCACAGAGTATTTGCAGACTTTGTCAACTTACAGTTTACCTTTGATGGCACCAATAATTGACATAGATACCTTGCTCAATAAATTGAAGTCTTTGGATTGTCGAAAAGGTGCAGGAGCCGACGGAATTCCTCCTTACTTTATTTCCAAGTGTGCTTCTTCTCTGGCAGCCCCCTTACTGCAAATAATAAACCACTCGCTTACCTCTGGCATGTTTCCAAATAAATGGAAGGTGGCTCAAGTAGTACCGATTCACAAATGTGGTGATAGTAATTTTGTGGGCAACTATAGACCTATCTCGATATTGTCTACATTCGCTAAGGTATTCGAATCGCTGATAACACCCTACATCCAGTTCACTTAAAGCTTTACCTTGCAAATTCTCAGCACGGCTTTGTGGGCTCCAGATCCACATGTACGAACCTGGTGTCGTTCACGGAGACCTTGGTAGGTGCCATTGATGCGGGGGGACAGGTTGACGTGATCTATACCGATTTTAGTAGAGCCTTTGACCGTGTCCCTCATAACATACTCTTGTATAAATTGAAATCTTACGGAATCACTGGCTCGCTCTTTGATTGGTTTGAGTCATATCTCGATAGTCGTACCTTCTTTGTCGCTCTCAATGGTTACCGATCTGGCTCCTACCTCGTCACATCGGGCGTTCCTCAGGGATCACATGTCGGCCCAGTGTTATTTAACTTATTTGTCAATGATCTCGCAGCGGAATTTAAGTTTTCTGAGACTTTCATGTATGCGGATGACTTAAAATTCTGCAGACAGATTGAGTCGAATCTTGATGCTGAGTTGCTGCAGAGGGATGTTGATAGATTGGTAAGATGGTGTGATGACAATGGTATGAATTTGAACACTAATAAGTGCTACCATATGAAGTTCACCAGAAAAACTAAATATATGCGATCTGCATACTACATCGGTGGAAGCTTGGTGCAGGAAGTCACTCAGATGAGAGATTTAGGAGTTGTGTTTGATGGTCAGTTAACGTTTGTTCCTCACATTGAAAATACAGTTAAAAAAGCATCTAGAATGCTGGGGTTTGTCATCAGAAATGTTACTTGCTTTCGCCAGAATCAGACTAAAATACTTCTCTATAATTGTCTGGTTCGTAGCTCTCTGGAGTATTGTAGCGTTGTATGGAGACCACACTATGCCACCCACACATTGAGACTGGAGCGGGTTCAAAAAAGATTTTTGTGGCACTTAGCGTACTCTTCTGGTATAGCTAATAAGAAGCCGTCATATGATGAGAGGCTGAGTCACTTCAAAATGATATCCCTACAAAAACGAAGAGACTCACTAGATTTATTATTTTTATACAAAATCTTGCGATATCATATTGACTGTCCCCAGCTTTTGAGCAAGCTCAGAATCCGTGTACCCTCCAAAAATCCACGAGCGCCTATAACTCCATTGTGTCCTCCACTACGCAGGACTGTACTTGGTGCTAATTCTCCGATCCCTCGTCTATGCAGGTTGCTGAATAGCTATAGTGACCTTGTTGATGTGCATTTGGACTCGCTTGGCAAGTTTCGCGTAAAGGTTAAGTTGATTCTTTATGGTGATGTTGCCCGAATGTAACTATTTTTATTTGTTTTGTCCTTATGTTCACTTTTTGTTTTGCCCACTATTTATGTTCTCATTGTAAGTATCAATTGTCTTTATTGTACGTACCGTAAATTTTAAATTTTAAGTTTAATATTCAATTTGTCTCCGATACTAGTTCTTCTTAGTTATTTTGAATGTTAAATCCATGTCAATGGTTGGATTTGCCTGATCATAGTGATTTGTAAACCATTAAGTATATAATGCATGTTGTGCTTACCTATAATAGATTGATGCACTAGTATTTAAGTTTTCGTAAATGTAACCCTATATTGTATAAGTGTAATCAATTGTTGGTGAGCCAAATCAATAAAATTAAATTAAAAATCACATCTGACATTGTCCCAAGCATTACGTTCATATAACCCCTACCATTAGTTTCAATTGATAAATTACGATTTTGAACGCGTCTTATAAAAGGGAAGCTTAACACGGACTATCAATAAAAATGATTGTTCCATACAAACAAAGGAAGCCAGCAAGTGTATCTGTATACAATGTAAACATAATTTGGAACATTTTTAGTGGATGACTCAAAGAAATTGTGTTTGTAAATAGATGATTGTGTTCAATGGAAACGTAATAATATTAACGCATAGTAGTCGATTTGTCATCACTTGGTAATTCATTAATATGTATACAGAATGATCAAATGGTTACAAAATAAATATGAGAACCAACAAAGCATAATAAACAAACATTTCACTCTGATACTTCCGTAAGGCGACACTCTTACAAATTAATACAGGAAAAATTATAAATAGCCTTCAGTGGGTCCTTGTTACCGACGTTACTACGGAAGTTCGGAAGTTAATTAAATGAAAAAGTTCCAATTACTTGAGTGAAGCCCTATAAGTAATCACAGGTTGGCTAGTACTCCCGTCTTTCCCTCCCCCTCTCAATGAACGGACGCGGATGGCAGAAGGGGGTAGGAGGTAGCCGTACACACAATTATTAGTTTCAAGGTGAAGGACTCGCCGTTTACCGTTACTTTTACCCTACTCGTCAAGTTACACGCTTTACACAAGTTAGTTTCTCGACAAGGAAGTATCAAATTATTTGCAAGATAATATTCTAATGAGAAATCGGTTTCAAATTATTTTTAGGTGTACATACGTAAGGTAAAGGAAATGTTGGTTATATTTAAGTACCTATTAGAATAATATGCACCTGTTTCCACTAGGTGTAACTTTTCAAAACAGTGTCGACCATTTAATTGTCACTACCATAAATTTTCTGATATTCGTAGTTTAAGAGCCATTTCATTATATCCATTTAATAATTTGTAATAAATATTCCCAGTACCAGGGTACAATAAACAGGAAGAGATCAGCGTCCCATTAGCATACAGACCTGTGAGTATTCTGGCGAGGGTGGTCTCGGCGGGTATTTGGACGCCATGCGCGCGCCGGCTCCACAGCCCTGCACGGCCGCAGGCTCATCCTCCGGGTAATACAAATGCACGAAATCCTCCGTGTCCAAAAACGTATTGATCAGCATAATCCACACGATATAAACACTAACTAATAAATAATTTAATGCAGTCTAACAGATCAGACTTTAGGACCACTATGCACTAGTTTAAATTTAAATCACTGTTGTAGGAAGCACGCCATCGTAACGCATTGGGTTTGTAACGTTCCATGTTTTGGGTCCTCATATATCCGGATATGTTAAATAATAAATAAGTTAATACTTCACTACACTTGTATAAATATAAATTCACATTTGCACCGTTCAGCCACACTTTTATCTGTTAAAAAATTGTGTTAGTGTTATTCATTTTGTGTTTTGTCATCGTTTTTTGACACTACTATTGCGGTTGTTATCGAAACTGAAAACGAGGCCTTTTCGGTCGCTTATCAGTGACGATACAGCTGTTTAAAGGCCACCAGCATGTATAGTAGGGGCGTCAGCACTAGTTATCTTTGAAAAGCTACAAAAATATCTTTACTTACAGTAATTTTATGATACACCATCGAGGTCATTTAGATAAAATACAACAAGAGTTTGACGGCATGCTACCGTAGCTTCACCACCAAATATGAAACGATAAGTAATATGAGACTATTTCGAAAAACATTTTATATTCGCAGTCGTAACTTGATACGTGTTGTTACTGTAGCAAAGAGCTATTATTATGGTGTTCAACGATCATTACATTATGTTAAAAGCATATACAGTGTAGTCCGTTTAGTACGACTTCGCATATAACAACCAACCGTTTTTAGCGACGTGAGTGTAGACGATTGTTTGGTTTTCATATGAGCCTTTATGAAAGTACATCCGTTTATTACGACTCCGCTTACAGCGACCGACCGCTTTTAACGACGGTATATCACATAAAATTATCCGGTTACAACGACGATGAGCGTTGACGTGTTTACAAATAAATCGTAGGTATGAAACTATCTCCGCTTGACACCCCCCCTTGCTTGCACGTCAGTGATTCGTGTGTGACCGTTTAGTTCTCAGCGTTAATTAGCGGGTGATGCGTAGTTTGGCGTACAAAAATGGCTTCTATAAAACGAAAAAGTTTCTCTGTTGAAGAAAAAAGTGTTATAATACAACGTTTAGAAGCTGGCGAGTCGAATGCAACGATTGCGAAGGAATTCGGTGTAAATCATTCGACAATATCAACAATTAAGAAAAATAAACACAAAATAGAACCTTTGTTCAATGCGAATGTTTTAAAACCTAAACGTGTGAGGTTATCGTCTCAAGAACAAGTGGACTCGGCACTTTTACAATGGTTTAAGCTGCAGCGTAATCGTGGAATACCCGTAAATGGGCCTATGCTTCAACAAAAAGCTACTTTTTTCGCTAAAGAGCTAAAGATTCTGAATTTTGATTGTTCGGCGAGTTGGATTAACCGTTTCAAGAAGAGACACAATATTGTTGCCGGAAAAATTGCTGGTGAGTCTTTGTCGGTTGAACAGAGCGATGTAACAGAGTGGCTAAGCAAAGTTTGGCCTAATTTGCGGAAAAAATTTAGTGACGATGAAATATTTAACGCAGATGAAACAGGATTATTCTTTAAATTAACGCCAGATAAAACATTAAAATTTAGAGGCGAAAAATGCTCAGGAGGAAAACTTTCGAAAGACAGAATAACTGTGATGGTTGCAGCTAACATGAGTGGCACGATAAAAAAGAAGTTGTTAATTATTGGCAAGTCAAAGAACCCACGATGTTTCAAAAATGTACGATCTCTCCCGGTAGATTATGAAAGCAATCACAAAGCCTGGATGACATCTGATATTTTTATCAAATGGGTACGCGACTGGGATCGTGAACTGACTAAAAAGAATAAAAAGATCCTGCTTCTAGTTGACAATTGTCCAGCTCATCCCCAGATCAGCGATTTGAGAAGCATAACTCTATTTTTTCTGCCACCGAACACAACATCTGTATTACAACCTATGGACCAAGGAATAATTCGAGTGTTAAAATCAAACTTTCGTAAAAACCTGGTTCTAAAAATTATCGCTAATCTTGATGCAAATGAAAACACCAGCAGTGCCAAACATCCGAAGATCACAATACTGGATGCTATTCTAATGATTTACGACGCATGGAATAAGCTTACATCAGCGACGATTTTCAACTGTTATAGACACGCTGGATTTGTCCAAGACAGTCTCAGTGTTGTTTCCGCCAGCGATGACGATGATGATTTGCCGCTGTCTATCTGGGCGAGAGCGTTGGATAAAGGACTTCCCATGGGAAATGAAGAACTTGAACAATATTCTGCTATTGATGATGATCTCGCAACTTGTGAGGAGCCGACTGACGAAAATATTCTACAAAGTGTTATCGACAACGGTCAAGATAGCGACGATAATGACGACGACGGCCTGGAAGAAAATTGTACCACTCCGATTTTATCTGAAGCTCTAAAAGCTGCAGAAGTGCTGAATGTGTTTGTGCATTCTAATTTTGAAGATGACAATATGAAAAAAATGATGTCTTGTTTGCATAACCGAATCCGTACTTCTTACTATAGAAATAAAAGCCAAAAACAATCAAAAATTACAGACTTTTTGCACTAGATATTTTGTCATTTGTTATGTAGATTATATTAGAGATGTACATCATGTACGCGCACGGTTATTTTGCTATCCTACCTTAGACATTGAAGTACATTTTTGAATTAATGTTACTTTTATTTTCATTACAATAATACATTATGTGAAATACATACATATGTAAAAAAATACATATTTTGATTCAAATGTTTTTTTTTTGTTTATTTTGGTCACTTCCTTTAGTACGACTTCCGGTTAGTACGACCTAATATCACCGGTCCCTTCGCCGTCGTTATAACCGGATTCTACTGTAATGACCAAGTAACAGATAAAATAACATAGTAACAAAACGTGCAATAATTTAAATAAGGAGCACAGTTTACATAATGCGATGATAGTGAAAAGGTCAGTGATAGTGTGGAGCTGCGGAATTTTACTGGCACAAAATTCGATAGTGGGCTTTTAGACATTTTTCTTTTTTTGTTTTTGCCAAAGCACCAGCTGTTTCCAGTCACACTCGCGTACTAAATGCGAATGCAGTTTCGTTAGAAACAAAAGAACTTTAAAAACAGACATGACGTGAATCTAGAAATGCTCTGAATTTATATTTTTGGAGGTGAATTTTAACTTTGGTAGTCTTTGGATAAAAACACTAATAGTTGGTTAGTCAAGTACTATTAGTAGGCATAGGAAGATATGATAATTCCAACTACAATTTGTGGTTAAAGGTTATTTATGTAGCATGCGTCATGTTGATAAATAAAACTATTGTAGTAGGAAATACCGAACCAATTTAGGTATTCCCAAGATAAATTGTCATTAATAAAACAAAGAGTTAATAATAATAAACACACACAAATTTTAAATAAAATAAAAAACTTTCTATACATTTATTTCTATTGAGATTAACTAAACTAGTAGTGACGTACCAGGAGCGTATAAGGTCGCCAGTAATTTGAAACAGCTTTGTTTACCGCAAATAGTAGTGATATAAACTTGGTAATTAATAGTAGTGTGATAGGCAGATATTTTAGGTCATGCGTCGATCGTGCGGGTAGTAAGGTTCAATTGACGTCATTCATAATAACATGGTGCTTGTTTATAGAATACTGTCTGTGTACGTAAAGCGAGATTGTGTTTTATGGCAATGTGAATAATGATAATTAAGTTACCTAGGAGAAACTTACACTGAATAATATTCAGCTGTTTTACCAAGATTACTCAAGACAACCGGTCAAAATATAAATAGCTTCGTGAACCAAAACCTTGCTTATTTTCAAAATAAACCACTGTTCATGAACCCAGATACAATCAGGTACATTTTGCGGTCTAGTGTATCAATATGGGTCAGTATAAATAGGTACCACTACAATTTATAGATAGCTACTCACAATGGCACATGTAATTAAAGAAGTCCAAAGAACAGACAACCTTGTGACCACACATTGTGACGAAACAGCTGACAAGCATAATTTAATACGAACAGATAATCTCAAAGCAAAACACTTGTTTGTCTTCAAGTATCTTTTGTTTATTGTCATTCAATTGTATTTTGTTATCGCTAGCAAATAACGTATGCATTGATACAATTCAAAGTCGAGTTAGTTCAATGACCCCGACGGATATGGGATCATCCAATGGACCAACTACTTGTGTTGTTTCTAGAATGGACATATTCCACTAACTGTTCCAAATATTTACTTTTGAATGTGTCAACTGGTACAAGATAAGTAGAACGGTCCCTAGAAAAGAATGTATTGTACAAATACTAGGTTCGGCTTACTAAAACGTTGGAAACACCAAAACTAATAATGCTAACCACGATTGCAATATAGTAGTTGGTATTTCCAAGAAAGACTAAACGCCTTCTAATCTTCTGAATACCTGAATAATATTAAATGATATTTTAAGGTGGAAAGACATTTCAAACGAAATTGTCAATTTTTATTTGGACTTTGACTTTTGTACTGACTTTGATGTATTATTCTAAAATAACAATATCCATGACGTTTAAAAACAAATGTTAATTATATTATCATACAATGAAAGTTATTTCATTGTATATTATGTAACTGGACTTCTAATATATCCAAACACATAAATAAACATTACAGTTTCCATTCAATATACGTAAATGTCAACATTTGATTATAATATGGACGTAAATCTGATGAATGACAACGAAGATGATTATCATTTAAATCGAAAACTGTACGAAGCCAAATTTCCTTTTGCATAAATCAAGCCCTTTTAAAATAAATGTACTAGGATCCGTGAAGTCAGCAAGAAGTACAGCATTGCAAATCTTATGAACGTGGAACGGATGCTTGCTCCACTTTCAATACGATGCGACGACGTAAAGAATGCGGTCACCGGCGCCTACTGAGTGACAGGCACATCTGTAAAACTATGATGCCCTCAGCCCTGGTACGACTATTAGGAATATTGATACCGTACGATGGAAAATACTAATAAATCCTCTCAAATAATAAGGAAAAGATGAAAAAGAAAATAAGCAGTAGAAACGATCTAAAAATAAAATCAAAGATCTTTGTGAATTCAATTAAAGGAACCTACTTACGTGAGCAAGGTCTTTTGACTAACAGCAATTATTCAAAGATTAGCTTTTTTACTTGAACAATACGATTTTCTTGCGCGAATTACAACATCAAATTGCGTGAATAATTCCACTGAAGAAGTAAGTTTGCGTTGTCAGTGATTACAA